CAGGTAGGTACCACTAGGTATAGGTACCTAGTCATTCGGGAGCACATTCTGGCCGAGATTACCTACCTAGGTAGGTAGGCTACCGAATTGAGTGGAGTGCTTGGCCAATCAAAGCTTGAATCTCCCGCCTTGACCAATGACATGCTGCGAACGCGAAAACGGTCACGACGTCCGTGCTCGACCTTCTTTTCCACGAAATTGACAGGCAAACGCTGTGTGAACTCCGTTTCTTCCTGGTGGCACGGTAGGCGTCGTTTTGTTTGCATGAAAGATACCTATTAAAGCGAATGTTGTCCCTGGAGGTTGAAGTTGTCGCCTTCTCTACATTCAGGGGAGATTCCCTTTGTCTATAAAGGTCGGTACATTGCTTCAAGATCATGTTCTTTTCTTCTCTATACAACAACCATAACTTGATATCAACCCTCGGATCGATCTCTACGGTACATCTCGTGCAACTCACCACAATCGACCAACCCCTTATAGCAGTCAGAAATGTGCACACGGTGGAAAATCTGCTGCAAGATGTGCGGTGCTGTCATCGGCCAGGGCATGGTGGATGACTGCTACGAAAAAAAAACCACCGGCCAGTGCAGACAGGGAGTCAGAGATAGGATTGACAACCAGTCAACCTATTGTAACATCACAAACTGTAGGGCCGCCAACTAGGTGTGGCGTTAGGAATGGGAATTGTTGGATGGAGGATCTTGCATGTTAAATTGGCTCAACACTTACCACATACTACCTTACCCAACCTCTAATGAAAGCCAAATTACCATTTGATAATATACTACGTCTTCCTAGCTAGGAGCCACAAGAACTTTGCATCCACGACATCTTCTACCGTATCTTGCAAGACTATCTCTAATCCCACCTCCCTTGCCCTCTCCACCGTCCCCTCGCTCCCCCAACTGCTCCAAAACATCCATCCCCTTTCCTCCTCCAACCACCTCTCCATCTCCATCGCCTCTAATTCCTCCGCCGCAAAGTTCGCCAGCAACCACCCTCCCGGCTTCAACCACGTGACAGTCTTACGCAGCATCTCGACTTGCTCGGCGCGCGGAAGGTGGATGACAGAGTACTGTTAGACTGTAGGTCTGGGGGTACTTGAGTAGGCTGAATAGACACGCAAAGGCACAGAAGGTGTAGCAACACGTAGCTTGTAGTAATGGATAGAAGAATCGCTGGCTATCTGTGAGTAGTAGAAACCTCCGATTATATGCTCGTGCTTGCGACAATCAATACCTATTCCTAGAACACCGAGATAACGTCATTGCGAGCAATAACTCCGCTGTGATGTTATAGACAATAAACTCCGTTCCGAGATGACATCGACAACTCCGACGTTCCGTTGCGACGAGACTCGAAAGGCGCAAGAATGAATAGGACACTCCGAGTCCGTGGCTCCGAAAGTGATGATAGACGTTGCTCGGAGTCCGCTCGGCCCGGCTGGCACGTACCACGTGACAAGTACATACCGACGACGGCGTCGAAGGTAGCCGGCGCAAAGTCGAGGGCGAGCATATCGCCCTCGACCAGCGTGAGATGGTCGGATGGCAGAGTGGCACGGGCGAGTGTGAGCTGTGCGGTTGAGAGATCGTTTGCGGTGATGGAGAAGTTGGGGTGGGAGAGGAGTTTCTGAGTGACGGGGACGCCGCAGCCGCAACCGAGTTCGAGAATCGAGATGGGCTTTCCATTCGAGAGAGGTAGTTGCTCGAGTAGCTGGTCTAAGTAGTGGAGGCGCGTGGTCGAGTGCAAGATGGTCCATTCGTGGTATTGTGGAGCGATTGCGTCGTGTGAGGCTTTCAGGCGGGATTTGAGGTTGGCAGGAAGATCTACTTGTGGAACAGGCGGTTCGGCCATTGCGATAGGTTATAGCGGGCTGTTTATGAGCGAGGAAGTTGTGTTTAAATAGCTAGAGAGTGCACACGGTCAGTTCGAAATCTTTGGAGGAATACCGAGTATGAGTTGACGGTGGTAACTAGCCTAGCATCAAGGTCGCGCTCACAGTTGATGCAAGACCTTGTGGTAGAGCGTTCTTTTGAAGGATGTGTCTAAGATCCATTGAATTCTTGCAGTGCAGAGCACGTCATGCGAGCAACATTAAACGTGATGTTCCCCGGGTGAGTCGAATGTATGTCAGACAGTGGACACTGATACCCGTGATACGACAAGCGCGGGAACCAGTCATGTTTCTCTCTTGTAGAGGGCTAGGTAGGGGCATGCAGGTGAGGTCCGGAGTTACGCTTAGTAAGTAAGTAGTGAATGTCTTCCATGGTGTTGCAGGACAGGTCGGCCTTGCTCGCAAGAGGCAGAGGTCACAGGAAATGCAGCGGTAACTCAGTGTGGGGATGCTCGCTCTGTACAGAGCTGAGAAGTTGCTTGTATTGATACTATCTGAGCGGAGAGATGAGGGTGGGGTCATCGCGAGCCTGGATTCACGTGATGTAGCCGATTTCGGCCATCTACGCGAGAGAGAGCGCTCTCTGCAACACATGGCAGCATGCAGAGGTCGTTCTGCTCGCGTAGTCACGTGGGTACGCCAACTGAAATGAGATTGAAGTACCTTAGGTTTCAGGTAGGTACTATACCTCCATTCCGCCCTACCTACGCAACTTCTCCCTCCATAGGCTTCCTCGCCATGAAGAAGAAAATAGGAATATAAATATGACTCGAGACATTCTTTACCTGCTTCCTGACATCAGCCAAAAACACTTCAATCTCCTCTTTCGACCACTTCAGCCCGCGGCTCACAAAGCCCATGGTAAACCCGTGCACACCCTCAAGGAAGTTCATCTGACACCACATACCCCACTCTTTCATCTTCTCGTCTCGAGGCCATCTCCCAACGGGCCACGCGAACCGCTGTACCGCCACATCTACAAACCCGGCCTCCTTCAACCACTCTTCAAAACGCGCCCCGGCGCACAGGTCAACGCCTACCGCCGCGGCTCCCGCCATCATGTGGTCGCTCCACTTCATAAATGGTGACTCTGGGCCTGCGGAGCCATCGTCGCAGCGGAACGGGAACTGCAGGTCTTGAATTTCCAGCCATCCGCCCGGTTTCAGAGCGTCAAAGGCGCGCGCAAAGAAGGCCGGCCATGCTTTGATGCCAACGATGATCATACGGCCGTGGATGTAGTCAAAGGAGCCCGAGTCGAAGGACCACGGCCCGTCGGCTTCGGCGTCTTCGATGTAGAAGGTCAGGTTCGGCGGTACGTACGCGGGTTGGACGGGCGAGAGGTCCATGCCAATGACGCTGGCGGAAGGGTATTTGTCGGCAAAGTCGATGGCCCAGATCCCTGTGCCGGTGCCAACGTCGAGGGCTGTTTGGATGTCGGGGGATAGGGGCGCGGCGTGTAAAGACCCATCCAGGGTCATGCAAAAGAGCTGATGTTGTAGATCGAGGCGGTCGAGCTCGGGCTCGTCGTTCGGAAGAAGGTATTGTGTGTCCGAGTTGCTGCGGGGGGCATGATAGCGCCGCCCATTTTCGTAGTGGTATGCGTAGATGGAGGAGGTGAGGGAGGTGGAGCGGGTGGAGCGGAAGGAGCCGAGCGCACTGTCTGTGTCGCTGGTTGAGGGCGAGGAGTCGGCTTCGGGGCCTAGGAAGGAATGGTGAGAGGGGGTTTGTGTGGGTGTTGACGAGACATCTTCGGTGGTAGACGATGGGGGTGGGTTATTCGAAGAGGAGGGGTCCTGCTTTGTTAGGGGGATGAACGAGTAGTGAGGGTCGGACGGGAAGTTCTTCAGAGAGTCTTCAATTGACTGGGCGGGCAGGGCTTCATCTTTCTCTGTCGGAACCTTCGTTGATGGCCGTGGTGCTAACGACGTCGACGGTTCTCCAGAGGACGAGCTCCCAAGGACAGGCTCGGCACGAACCGCTGCCGCCATCCCCTTGGCATCGCCCTCCATCTCGCGTATCGATCGTGAACCCGAATCCAAGCTCTTTCGAGGGTCAGTGGGCTTGTTGGAATCTCTCGTCGCTCCTTAAGTTTGAGCCGTGCTAACAGTGTATAGCGGAAGACAACAGTAGGAGAATTGACGCAACAGCGACGACCTAAGCGATAGCGATACTTAACCCTCAGAACGAGCGACCGGAGCGATCTCTCATCGGCCGAGCAGGGGCACACGTTACCTTCATATGCGCAGGGCCAACCTGCACCTCCACGTCTGTGGTGAGATTTGATGGTTATCCTGGGGGAAGCCCATTCGAAGAGAGAGAGATCAGCGCTGCATCCTTCTTACGATACATGTTAGGCTCGCGCTTAGCGAGCAAAAGCGAGTTAGACATGATAGAGGAACGACCCGTGGGCCGTGAACGGCATCGCGGCACCGAAAGGCTGAAAGTGCGTGGGAGGGGAATTGGACGAGGCGACGAGGCCCCAAGGCTATTGTTGCCAGTGAGGGTTTGCTGCGCAGTTGCAATGTAGTTCTGCGCGTGCTTCCACTGCGCTGGTATACCTACCTAGAGGCACCTTGGCTGTTGGAAGTACCGCCAAAAGATAATGTTCCCTGGAGCACCGTCGGATGGGGATGAATGAGCGCATGTCCGGACACGAATTTGATGATGTGGAGGGGAGTAGGGGAGGGGGAGAACTGACGACGTGGGGTTCACAAGTACCTTAACGGTAGAGCCGTATCGTCAATACCATTACCCGCGAGAGGCGGGCGGGTTGGCAGTGACAGCTTCAATTGAAATTACCAGGACGGCGACAATGAAGAGGCCTGCAGGAGTTATCATAAATAGATAGTTCCACCGTAGATATGGGACACACGGAAGAGCTCATGGAGAAGCGCTCCGTCTCGAGCCTGTTGTGCAATATCTTCAGAGCGGAACTTAGGTATTGCCAGCTTTCAAGTTCGCCTTGTCCTCACGTAGCGTTAAGAGTATCGTGCAAAAATGACCTGTTCGATCCAGGTCATAAAGCAAATTCAATTCCCACGCTTCGTCTGTTGCCAGATTTCTGTTGCAGACTTCTCTAAGAGTCTCAAAACTGCAAAAATGATTCGGCCCGGGTTTGAACCGGGGACCTTCAGTGAACGACAGAAGTGTTAGACTGACGTGATGACCAACTACACCACCGAACCGACGATGATCTTACACGCTATAGCATGTTTTATAATCGTAACGCTGCAGCTCCGGCCACTGCGGGGCTGGGAGTGAGGCTAAGCCGAAAAACGCCGAGTTGACTCGGTTAATGGCGGGGGGGATGCCTTGGGAGTCTGTAAATCGATAGAAGAACAAGCGACAACTGTTCTCTTGGAGCTGGAGCTGGAGCTAGATGATGATCGCAGGCTCGAGGGTGGCTGTCTCTTTGAGAGTGTCCGCATTGCTGATCTGTAGACAAATTCAATACCAGCCAACGAGAATCTAAGCACGTGACCTGGTCGAGATGGCCTGAGGCATCAACACGTAGTCAGACCTATCTCTCATTCTTTGCACCTCACCCCCTTTTCCAGAGTATGAACTGCAATTCTGCAATGTAAACATGTACAAGAAGAAAACAGAAAAGGACAATTCCAACGGAAAAGGACTACGATAGGGTATCATCTCTTGCGCAACACACTTCCCGGTCAACCTTAGGCCAGACAAAACTCTCACATAAACAAGACCTTCCCTAAGACATATCATTCATTCAAGCTCTCATCCCACCCACCTCTCCCAACCAAAAACCTCTCCACCCTCTTCCTGCATCCTTCCACCCCTCTCCCCAGCCCTTCTTCCCACTGCGTCTCCACCGTCCTAACCTTCTCTTTCAGATCCACGGTCAGCGTCTCCTCCTCCTGCCGTCTTACCAGCTCCATCTCCCTAGCCACCTCCGCCTCATCCTCCCCTTCCAACCCCCTCTGCCGCTCCAACATCCTCGAGCCAGCAACCATCACACCAGTCCTGACCTCATGCAGCAAACAAAGCAGGTTCGTCTGACTCTCGATGAACTGGTATGCTGCGCGCTCGGCGTGCAGTAGTAGCGAGTAGAGATACTGCATCGGGAACTCGGCATAGGCTTCGTTTTCCTCGAGTTCCTGCGGCGGAATCAAGATGTCGAATCGTTTCAAGTCCTCTTCTTTGACGGGGACTTTCTGCACAACGGCTAGCAACCCTGGCGCGATATCCCAGAACGCGCAAAGCTGGTCCTCGACGCCGCGAGTGATGTTCTCCTCGACTGAGTTTGCGATATCCTCCGCACGTTTCAGCGCCTCCTTCTCGAACTGCAGATGGCGGTCCAGTCCGTCCTTGTCGAAGAAAGCGTTAGCCTCGCGGACCTTGTCTTCGTTGTGCATGAGCTGGTAGGGCAGGAGTATGATATTTTTGTATTTTTCATTGCGCTCGCCTTCGAGGTCAAAAAGCGCCCTATACAGCGCTTCACGGGCTTCATATAGCCACTTCAGCAGCGTGAGCTTCTCAAGAAGTTCGGGCTGCTCATCGCCTTCTTCCTGTGGCTGGTTGGGACTGCTGTTCTTGGCTGTGCTGGTTAGGCTGCTGCGGATGTGCTCGATACTCGCCGTGGCTTTCGTGATGCGTTCGCTGAAGAGGGCATGTAGGGGCTGCACGACTTCAGACTGGAATGTGTCGAATTCGGCTTGGATGTGCTTTTGGCTCTGCTGAGCTTCCGCGGCTTCAAAGTCTGCTTCAACGGCAGCAGCTTCAGAAAAGGACATTGTACCTGCTCGAAGCTCGTCTTGCACTTCTGATTGGAAGGCTGTTCGGCGCTTTGTTGCATCCTCGCGCCGCTTTTCGCGGAGAAGCGTCAACTTTGCAGCAAAGCTCTCCCGGGTTGCAACAGTATCACTGAGGTCGGAGAGGGACCGGTAGTTCTGGCGGATGCTTGCCAGGTCTGGGTGGTTATTGTTCACCGCTGGGTGGTGACGGGGATATGGGGGAGGAAGCGTCACAAGCCTAGAGACGTCCATCTTGTAAGGATCCGGCGTTGCCGGTGCAGAGTGTGTCCAGAAGGGGAACTGGGGAGACGAGGAAGGGCCGCCACCCTGATCAATAAGACCAACCTTCTCTGGGGGATATTCATTCGGTCCGTATGCGGCAGGCTGCGGGGTTTTCGTCGGAGCAGGACCCGTAAACGACGGCGATCGGTCAGCTTCCCAGTGCGGGTTCTCTCGTAACTCTTTTGGTACACCCATGTACTTGGACTCTCTCTTCGAGCGCTTGAGCTCTTGTCCTCCACGACCGAGAGAATCACCAGAGCTTCCTTCCCACCAACGACTAGCCGATCTGCCTCTGGATTCTTGCTCGTCAGGGACTGTGCTCATTGCCATGCTAGGAATTGGCGAAAGAGAAGGCTTGAACCCAGACCACAGTTGGTTCTCCCCTTTGATCTGCTCCTGGCTAGTAGTGCTCGATGGCGATTCGAATTCAGTCCGCGGTGTAAAGTTCGCATTCGAGTAGACCGGGCTGCTATCAACCGATCGAGTGGTGCCAGATGATGCAGGAGTTGGTGTTTGCTGCACAAAAGATTCTGCCATGTTTGTTTGAATCGGCGGTGTCTTCGATTTTGGCCCAATTTGGTGGGATCTCCACATGTCACGCGTCAGGTCAAGTATATTCCCAGCCATCGCGTCAAAGGCTGTTGAGTAGCGATCACGGCGGATCCTTGACTCGGCGACCATGAACTCTGCGAACAGCTCCAGGCGTTCTTGATCTGTGGCCGCGGCAGACTCCTTTTCAGCAAACACCCTATGACGCTCCAGACATGCCTGTGCGAATACTTCCTCTTCGCTTTGCTTTGCTTGCCTCGGGGTCCGACTAGAAGACGAAGAAGGCCTGGAAGGCTGAAGTGGTATGATCATGTCCTTTTCGTCAATGGGAGTATGGAAGATATGGGATACAGGTCGCTCGGCTGAACGGCTATTTAAGGACGACGAGAGGAGATCATCTCCGCTCTGGTGAATAGGTGATGTTGGAAGCGCCTTGGGGGGCATCACAGTCGCAGGCAGCTTCCCACGCGCAACGGGTGAGAAAGGAGGAGTGGGCATGGTCTCTGGGGACCTTACTCGTCGAGCATGAATATCCGCAGGCGATGAATGTGCATCACCAGAGCCAGACTGAGACCTTGCACTTGATGACTGTTCAGCCGGGGAAGCTTGGCTCCTCGCACTGGTCGGGGTATTCCGTCTAATGGTGCGACGACGACTTATGCCGCCAGAAACCGCAGGCAGGACCAGGTCGGCCGGCTTCGCTTCAATCGCTGAGATGGGCTCGACGGCTGGCTCGACGGCACTGTGGTCGCCATCACGTTCTCGAGCAGCGCGACTTTCACTTCGTCGTTCCCGAATACCTCTCGCACTCGTGTCACGTCGCGCTCCCGTTCTCGTCAAACAACTGCTCGCTGTGGAAGATGTCGAAGCAGAAGATGTTGCTGCTGCCAACGCGCTATCAGCATCGATATCGTGTTGGCTAGACCGGCGCGATGGATCATCCATTGATGTAGTGTCTACCAGTAAACCTGGGGGAACTGCTTGGCCGCTTGACTGAGAATCGTCCTGACCATCCACCCAATCGGCGGGAGTGGGCGGCACAGGACCCAATGTCGATATTTGTCTAGCAGGACGCCGGGGAGCAGGAGCAGGAATGTCCGTCACGTTCTCGCGGGAGCCAGAATGCGATCGGTCGGACTGTCTCCCCATGCTTTGAGATCGCGAAGTGGCTGGTGGTGGACCTGGAGGCGGAGGGGGTAATGGCATCCCTGGCTCCCAACCTGCAAAGCCAATAGGAGACTCAGTCTCTCCTCTAGGCCTGATCGTGCCATTTGCAACCCCGAGTCGTCCCGTTGACGTCGCTCTTCGAGAAGTGGGCGGCCGTCCGTCCGCATCTGCTGACCATATTGTGTCCGGATGCATGGGACTAGCATGGAACTGACTGTGTGAAAATTAGCCATGACCCTTTGAGTGCGTTTATCGCTCAAACATACGTCTGCGGCGTTATACTAGAATAAGCGCTGCTATTTGGGGGAACCCTCGAAATAGCATCGCTTGTGTTGATTCTCAGCGCCTCGATGGCATTTGGACCAGCAGATTCTCCACCCCTGTTCCTCAATGTCAATGCTGCAAAGCTGAACTTATTGTGAAGTCTTTCGTTCGCAGTTCTCGACGTCGATCTATCACGACCGGACCGCGGGGGAGGGGGAGGAAACTGGGGACCAGACGACGGTATAGGCGAACTCGAGGGCACAATTTGTCCGAACCGACTGTAATCGTAGCTCGCTCCGGTGGCGGGGGAGGCAACCGCACTGCGGTGGACAGGCGACATTGTAGAGTTGTGAGGCACGGAAAGACTGGGCTGGCCCGATGCTGAGGGAACTGGCGCATGTAGAGGCTGTGCGAGACTGGCTTGGGCAAACGTCGTCGCGGAGGGAGAGTAAGGTGGAGGCGGCGAGGGCATGGCGGCTATACAACAGGTTAATGTCTGTGGAGTATTCCCAGCGAGGACTGGCGGGATATGAAATAGAGTAAGACCAGGCTACATGGAAATGAGAATTTAGAGGGCCGTAACAGTAAGCAGAAGATATTTACCCTCCATCCCGGTCATGTCTCTCGTTCTACTCGGACCTGATGTGGGTGTCGAATGGTTCGAATGTGGGATGTACGGTGCCCCGACCCCGACAGCTCCATTGCGTCCCCATTCCTGAGGATTGTAATGGTTGCTGTGACTGCTGTGACTGCTGTGAGGAGCCACGGTCGCGGGGCCCGGTCGGTAGGCCATGGGAGAGGAGCCGCCTCGAGGAGTGGTGGGACGGGGCGAGAGAGGCGAAGAGGCATAAGGGGAGAAGGGAGTGCTTAAGGTGCTCGAGGACGGAGTCACGGGAGGCTGCAGGAATCGTGAGCCGGACAGCGAGGTGGTGAGTGCTGGAGGTTGCACCGGCACGCGTCTGAGGGGTCCAAAAGAAGTTGGACCTGTCCCCGGGGCAGTATGAGGTGACGGTGGCGGCGCGAAGCCATTTTGGGAGTCCATGGGCGCGGTTTGGGAGGTTCAGCGTCTGCTGAGACGTCGTCCTGGCTCGTCAACCAAGCCAACGAGGGGAGAAACCACACGGCAGGGACCCGTGTGAGGCTTGAAGGGGAGGGCTCATGCGTGA